ATGCGGCAGACGCAGACCACCTGCAAGCAAACTTGAACAGGCTCGAAGACTGGTCGAAGCGCTGGCTTATGCCCTTCAATATAAGCAAGTGTAACTTTCTTCAACTCGGCGGCTTCAGAGCCCCCAGCCCCAGGACCTACTTTTTAAACGGCACACCACTGCAACAGGTTGACAGTCAGAAGGACCTGGGTGTATGGATTACATCTTCACTCAAACCAACACTGCACTGCGCGAAGGCGGCTAAATCGGCTACGGCCACATTGCAACTCATTAGGCGAGCATTTATGGGTTTTGACCCTGACTGCTTTTCCAAAATATTTGGCACCTTCGTGCGACCTCATCTAGAATACGCCATACAGGCGTGGAGACCCTGGACTGCCAAGGATTATACCGTCTTGGAGAAGGTCCAGAGACGGGCGACCAAAATGACACAAGGTCTGGGAGCACTGCCTTATGAAACCAGGCTGTCAATCCTAAACCTATTTCCCCTTTCCTACAGGCAATTACGTGGTGACCTTATACTAACATTTCGCATCATCAACGGCCTAGACTGTTGTTTAGATCCCACTGATTATTGCACCCAAGCTAACACGCCCAATTTGCACGGTCATCCCCTAAAACTACGCGCAGGGAAATCAAGAACCAATGGACGAAAGTCCTTTTTCAGTAACAGAGTGGTTGCAGCCTGGAATTCCCTACCTACCGATGTTGTAACCTCCTCCTGTTTGAACTCCTTCAAGTGTAGACTTGACCTGCATCAAGCTTCCCGATTACCACCCCCACATCCACTCACATAACCCGGTACCATCTTATATGTGTTTATACTACTTGTAATTAGTAAGTAACCATTAATGATTACTCTTTTTCGGCTAGCTGCCAGCTGTCCGCGAGTATGTACAAAATCCCTTTTTCACCTTCCCATTTATCAATGTTTTTCTCCGACGACTTGTACCCAAGAGGGAATTCAAAGGCGCTTGCCTATATTTCCCTTAATAAACTGATACTGCATGATACTGATACTTGAACTATAGGCTACATTTGCGTATACCTGTTGTCATGCGGCTCAATAAAATGTAATTGGTCAGCCGGTATATACATCGATGTTAACCACGCGAGAAAATTCCCTTTATTTCTTGATTTCCTTTTTTAAAAAGTAAATCCCGTAGGCGGACAAAGGCCAGACGGGATTGCAAGTAGCGAACTAATTGGCCCTCTGAAACATTTAAGTCCAAGGGACCGCAGTGAAGCCAGTGCCCGCCAACTTCGCAGACAGTCGGTTTTTTCATTTTTGGAGAATAGCCACGCCCTAGCTCACGGGTTGTTTACACCTATCTGTGGGCAAAATGTTTTTTCCTGCAGTTTAGGCGGTGCAGTCAGACATGGCTGGTGCTTGACTGACTGGTGTCATTTTAGGCCGGACAACATTTTCGAGACTATCAAAACAACCTGCAGGTATTTTTGAGAGAGTGTTAGAAATCTCTTTCAGCTTGAGAGGTCAAATATACGCAAAATTTCTGTAGCGGACATTTCATAAGTTTGGAGATTTTTGGCTATTTTCTCGCTTTAAAGTATTGTTAGAAATAAGAAACACAAATGCTAACCGACGACATTTGGACGAAAGCATCCATGTCAGCCGAACTAGCCCCTCACTATTTCGGCGAGATGATAACCTATTCAGTTGTTCATACTTAAACCATTGTCCTAGTGCTAATCTCCCTTGGATATTTAACGGAAGTGGAGTTTCGAATGGCCCACATTTTTGCTTAAACATATGATCATATATTATGTAAATCGTCAGCATTTTTATTCATTAAATGACGAAACCGATATAGCTTGTGCTTGATTAGCTGCCGTCGTTTTAGGCCGAATGAAATTTTCGAGACTCCAACAAAACAAAATATTCGATGATTTTGCGGTGATGGAGTTAAAGCTGATACGGCGCGGGGTACTTAATATATGTAAAAGTCTTCAGGTAGAAATATCCATAATCTGCAGAATTGAAGCAACTCGCTCGTGTACATGCGAGAGGCCTCGTAAATGCTGGCCTGTGAAAACACTTCACCAACTGAATTATCCCTCCTCCATATCCGCGCGACGATTACCACACAAAAAAAACTGGTCAAGTCTAAGTGTACACATTGGCGGGCGAAACCGTCTGCACCAAGTATGCATCGTGTCACCCGGACATTTTTCAAATTCTCGGCGACTCAGACAACCGGGCGCCGTTTCGTGGTGCGGTTATATGCCAAACCGGGCAGGTCACTGGAATAGAATACGCCCTTGTAAACAGACGATCCTGGGCTAGACGTCTACGAAGATTAGAAACAGCATAAGGTTTTTGGCTAGAATAATAGAATTAAAAATCTCTCTGATATTTGTCGTGAGATCTCTTGCATCAGGAGAGAGAATGCTTCCTACTTTGATGTTAATAGTAGCTTAGGGGTGTGACAGAACATCGCAGAGGTTTAAATGTACAGGTTTCTTAAAAGAGTCGACATGACGGAGTGCCACACATTCAACCTAATCTGCTTCCGACTTTCAAAAAAGGGCGAATTGTTTTTTTTTTTAGTGCAAAATGCATCGCCAGTTGGAAGCAGTTTGACGCTCTCCTAGCAGTCTCTACTTAATGGATCTACGTCTGTCCTCGTTCACAGGTGAAACATAAACCTTTCTGTTATATACTCAATTAGTAGGACGCCAGTTCTGTGCGGAATAGAAGACGGCCAGGTAGGGGAGAACAGCTTTACTGCGTCAGTCACCTTGTGTACATCATCTCTTAATCCTTTCGTTCGCGGCTTCTTATTTAAGGGTTCAGCCTTCGTCCGGTTTGCGGGTTCCTACTGGTCCAGTCCTGAGCTCCCGCATGGGCAGGCCCTCGCGTGTTGCTGACCCCTGGAGGTCGCGCATGACTCAGCGGCGTGCTAATGCCTGACTCGCATGCGGGCTTCGTAGGCGAGGCTGTGGGGCAAGTTTGCGGTCCTTTGTCAGGCGTGACCTCCAGACGACAGGAACGGTGCGTCGTAATCTGGGCCGTCCTAACACTTTCTTTAATCGACGGTCAACGGTAGGCACTTGAAAGGTCAAATAAAAACTTATCTCAAACTACTCTACGAACCAAAACCTGCACACGGTGGCAAAATAAATTTACTAGAGAAGCCCTAGCAAGCGTAATCATTACGCTCATATACTGCCAAAATCTATGACTACTTCACGTTTAGCGAGCAGTACAAGAGTGAACCACAAAACATGCAAATAAACACCGCTAGACCTTGGTGCCACAGACTGCATTTCGATTAATAACATCAGTATTAATCTTATGCATACTTGGTATCGTCACTTGGCAGTTGACTCGCAGGCGAGGAAGGTTAGTAACTCGATCCTCTACTCAGGTCGAAACACCCAGGTTGCGATGTCTGCCTCTTGATGAGTTCTTTATGGCATCCTCTTTTCCTTTGGGAGCTTGGCTGGTCGACTGTGCATGAAACACGGGGTTTAGTTGCCCGCCTTGGCGGGGATTCGCGTCGGGCCGCACTCTGTGTCCAGACTGGCCTCTAACCTTCTGTACACAGTCTTGATATCGGACGCAGGCGGATGAGGGTAGAGGGAATATGGTAGATGCAACGAAACTCCACTACAAATGCAAAAAAGTTCACGCCCAATTCACTGATCTTACGCCGTGGTCCCCAAGGAACAAATAAAAATGCATATCTGGCTAAGACCGAATTATAGAATATCTTGTCGATCTTGATAACAAAGTAAATCACGATCACGATTTAGACCAGCATCTCACTATAAGCTTCGGCGGATGTTCAGACACACAGTTACACATATGTTTATAGGGAGCGAGCATAATTGAAAAAGGCATCATGAATTTTTACGTATTATCTACTCACTTGACCCACTCTCTCATGCTGCGAATGCGAATTCGTCATCCCAGCTGAAAGGTGCGACCGTATTCTTCATTTGGAAAAGTCAGCGTTTGCCAACACCAAGAAAAGCGAAGAGACGTATCCCATGAAGAAGTCATGATGAGCGAGACACGCCCGCCGCTGAAGAGATTTATTTGCCAGACGCTTCAGGTTTCTGCTCGAACACATCATCAGAGACATTAGGAGATATGGATGCTTTTTGTGCAATGGGTTGCGGTATTTATAAGACAAATTCGCCAAGCTGTGGCATACCGATGACATTTCACGGCTTTCCCTCCGGTTTCATCGAGGAGTGTCGCGCTGGGATTGATACTTGCTCGATAGCCGACATTCGAGTTGTTAATGCATGTAATTTCATCACGTGTGTTAAATGTCGGTTTGAGGAATGCTAGATCATTGGGAATAGTATTCGCCTTCTCTGTCGCATGCCAAATTTTGAAAGACCAGTTATTGGAGCCTCATGTCGTCGATGACACCGCGTTCTCCACTAAATTCAATTTAGCACGACGTGGCTAAGACCAAGGATTTTTTTAAAAAGTCCAAAAATTCCCGTATCTGCTTTTGTCTCCGATGATGGGTTCGAGCAGGAATGCGATGTCACCACTGATTCGGTTTAAGAAAGCGAACTCGTGTTAGGAATAGCACGTCTCGGGAAAATGTCTTTGTCGATAAAGGCAAAACGTTTTCCCACAACAAACATATGCAATATTCTAAAGAATAAATTAATTTATTGAGCTCGTACATCATGGGTTTTCCATTAAAAGGCAGCATTTGCGAACTGAAAAGGAGGTGGTTGGGTTGGCTTAGCCCACGTATGGCTATTGGCTTATGCGTTGTATATAAAGAACAAGATTACACGTTTTGGTTTGGAAATGTTGGTGCAATTTATTTTCCTGACACTAGCTTATGGTGTCTTCGGACAGGGTGAATTTATTTAACAATTGCATTACCAAAAATTTAGAGTTTTGTTTCTTTCCATAATTCGATAAAAATTATGACAAAAGTCACCCTTTGCCGTTTCTTTTACAGAGGTCAATAACACCTTGAAATTTAAACAGAACAGCAATTATGCTTATACGAAAAGGCTCTATGGGGGCGTTGAGGTAATCGTCGCCTGCTGGGCGATGCAATGATTTTCCACTTTGCTTGAGGTGACAAAATCCTTCCTTCACACAGTACATAACCGTTGATGGCGTGCGCATTTCTAAGGCCGCAGACGGAACACACTGTGTCGCTCCGAATGACTGCTGGGAAATTATCCATCGTAAGATATTCAGTTGGCATTTTATTCTTTAAACAATCATTTTAGTCAAAAGAACATATTACACACGTAACAGAAAATTACTAATTAGCTGACAAAACATTCTTTTTTTCAGAAGTGAAATTCTCTAAATATTATAAACATTGGTTGCATGCGCACATATGTGGAGGAGAGGACTGCTAACGTAGGAGAGAGTTCCCTAACGAGATGGGCCAGCGTTCCTCTTCCACTATGAATCTCTATAATATTTCAGTTACCTCAGGATGCCGACTTTCGAATGAACTTCCTTCAGGTTGAATGCAAAATCTACATTCTATAAAACATGACCACTTATTGAGCATGAACGTTTATAATTGATTTTCGATGCCCCTAAATGTCCAATTATTTTTCATGAAAGCACGCACAAAAATATTCATTCTTTTGCTCATTCAGTAGAAAGTCACGTCTTTTTTAATTTTATAATAGAGGGAGGGGCATAATTCGATTTTTAAAAAAGTTTGTAATTGTTGGGCTCTTAAATACCGTAAAAAGGCCGCTCGTATATCTTCGTGTCTCTGCAGTTACGAATGTGGCTTGTAAAGTTAACAATATAGATTAAATCCACAAACGTTTTGCAGATTCAATAGCTAGAAACTCCATAAATTTAAAAACATGTATTTTTTAAGCTGAGATTACTCCCTTTTGCTTGCAAGCGATGTAATTTCTCATATCCTCCCTTAACTGGTTCTTTGGAAAAAGAAGACGGGATTTTCTTCCTGCTTTTCCTGTTGATATTTGTCTTCGTTTACAGCACAATGTACATTAATAGGAAGTCTTAATCTGCACACCTCAGTTGCATGGGAGGGTCAAATTTCGTTCATATCTGGCCAGTTTTCCTTTAATCAAAGTGACTTGAAACGAATGCCTCTCTAATGAATGGCTTTCTGCGCGTCAAATGAATTGAATGAACACAAATAAGAACGTCAAATCTATGCCATAGTTGGCAGTCATATTTCGGCTACGACATTCTGTGTGGCAGACCACTTGCTGTATATATGCAAGTAAGGAAATACAGACAAAGTCATGGGAGACCGGAATGGTCGTTTCTGGCTTAGCAGCCGTCATCAGCCAGTTATACCTAACCCCAAGTATCGATCCCCTGAGATTCGAAAGTGGAATCTTTACTCATGGAGTTTGACATTCTACCATTAAGCAGGGGACCCGTTGTCCTGCCGGATGTGATCGGGAGTATTAATTATGGTAGGTAGGCACTCTACCGATCGGTTTTACGGAATGCACTTGTTCTATCGTGCCATGATGCTCAAACTGGAACCCTCGAAGTCAGTCGCTCAGCGACCAGTAGCGTATGCAAGTAAGGTGATGCCGACAAAACAAATGCTTATTAATATGGAGACAATTTACAGTCTTATATATTTTCCGCTTTGCAGGATTATGTCCCAAATATTTAGTGTCAGTTAAATTACACTTGCAGACGTGATTATAATTATGAGGTAATTCGCTCATATTCACGACATAAATTTTGGTAGTAAGTGCAAAACTGAATTAGCCAAGATGAGATTTGCATAGGCCTTCGTGTGTTTCACAATCATCTCTGTCCCAAATTTGTAAGTAAATCTTTCCTTCACAAGCTGGACAATACGTCATCCTTAATGGTTTCCTGAAAGGAGAACAGGCAGGCATTGTGTGGAAGACGGAGCTTCCCACTGGTCGATGCCCTGTTGGAATACAATACAAATTAGCCGGCACTCCGGAGTGTAAGTCAAAGTCATCATTTCAGTCATAAACACTTTGTTGTACTTTTTTTTCCTTATTACTCTTCGTGCCAGTCATTAGCGAAGTCGCTTATTTAACTCGTAATTATACATAGATGGCAATATGCAGACAAATGCTTATCGATTTGATGAAGTCTATTTTGAGTCAGGACATACAAAGAAATAACCGGTTGTAATTTTAACAGCTTTATGAATTACATCTCAAAAATAGCGCATGCTATGATTTTTCCTCCAGATCCACCGCTGCCTTCGGGAGCAGTATCTGTCTTCGCGAAAGAAGTCCTTAAAAATGAAAGGCTCATCCATATTCTGCTTTTCAATGGAAAACGATTGGTAATCTCCGGAAACCAATTTAATTATTGCATCTATGCGACCTACATGAGAAACGTTAGTGTGTATGAATTAAGCTCAGGAGCCCATGTAATTAACGCAGTTGCATGTGTTACTGTACAGGGGATGTGCTAACTCATGAAATGTCAATTAAAATTTCGAAATGCGTTCTCGTTTCGAAAAGATAAATTAAGCAGTGTTGCAAAACTAATAATGATGAAGCATAAATCTATATTGATCCAATTACCGCAGGGTGTCGGCATTCGAAAGAACTTATTTTCGGCTGCATGCAAGATCTATATGCTGAAAAAATGACTACTTAATTAGCATGTAATTTCTTCACTGATTTTCGATGCCCTTGAAAATTTTATTATATTTCATGGAAAGCTTGCATAAAAATATTTAATTTTTTACTTATTCGGTAGAAAATCACGTCTTCTTTCAATTTCATACTCAAAGGAAGAGTATAATTCGGTTTTAAAAAAATTTCTAATGATGAGATTTTTTAATACCGTTAAATGGCCGTTCATGAAACGTCATGTATCTGCATTTAAGAATGTTGCTTGCAAAGTTAACAATATTGCTCAAATCAACTGCTTAATTTTATGAACCTCATATGATCTCCCCTTAACATCGTAGAGAAATGCATGGATTTCCGTACACGGAAAATATACAGCTTATAGTTTTGAAACCCTGAATGCATGTGTAACAGCAGGTCGGGTTCATAATTATTCGGGAATTAGGAAAGTTTTTTGAAACCGAATTATACTCTTCTTTTAGTATGAAATTGGAATAAGACGTGATTTTCTACCGAATAAGTAAAAGAATGAATATTTTTACGCATGCTTTCCATGAAATATAATTGAATTTTCAAGGGCATCGAAAATCAATGAGAAAATTGCGTTCTACTTACGTAGTCATTTTTTGCAAAGTATAGATCTAGCATGCAGCCTAAAATAAGTTCTTTCGAAAGCCGACACCCTGCGGTAATTGGATCATTATAGATTTATGCTGCATCATGATCAGTTTTACAACACTACTTAATTTATTGTTTCGAAACGAAAACGAATTTCGAAATTTTGGTTGACATTTCATGAGTTAGCACATCTACTGTATATACTATTGTGAACTGAACAAGAATGCATCATTAGTAAATAGATTAATTTTATCTTTATTTTCTCTATGTCAAGTAGATGCAATGTGTTTGTTTCAGACTTTAGTCTATTTCATTGTCCTCATAGGTAAGCTTCTCATCAAAGGAATAACAACAGCGGCACCATTTCATGTTCTTAACCTTTTAGAGCCTATCCCATATCGGGAACATTTCTGTGGAAAAAAGGGATGACAATATTATATCACTCCTAGGTTTGACCGGTAAGTGCATAATCCGGTGTTCCGAAAGATTTCATACAGGTCATGTCCAATGGAACTGATCTTTGCAAAACACTTTGAACCACAGTTTCCATATTAAACCCTTTTTGCACATATGCATGTGTGTTTTCAGGAGGGGACTGGGACAAACTTGTACTATTTACGGGACATTTGGGAAGCCAAACGCGACAAATGGAGATAAAGTTTACGACTGGCAGGATTACTCGTGTTACTATAAATCCTTCCAATAAATCGGAGGCCATAGCCCCAGTCTTAACATTCATTGACTACGAGCACGCCTTCAAGTGCACAAAGAATTAGTTCCGGGTGTTGGATTCACGATTTTTAATGGCAGTGTGTGGTTGAGGGTTGCTTTTAATTTCAACAAAAGTTCATGAATAAATTTTTTCTTTCAGTTTGAGTATTCCACACTTATGAGACGTAAAGACGTTTTAACCTGCAGGCATGCTCAGCAACACGCAATCTCTGGTCATACGTTCCAAAATGTCTGAAAGGTATTGATTAGCGGCTTTTTTCGGACCAATGACGGAGATCAACACGTTAAGTCTGCTTATGTTTCAGATATTTGACGACAACTTGTCGCAAATAACTATAGTGTATCTTGAGGTGATTCTGTGGTTCAAGATCGTTTTCAATGAGAATATCCTTGTGCTTTCATTGTCATCGTCCATGCCCTTGCTGCCATTTTAAAAAGATTTCCCCTCTCTACATCAATGCCAGTACCACACTGCATTTACGCATCACGTCTTGTATTATGCTTGCAGTTTTTCGTCCTTATACAATAGCTGTGGTACTTCGTCTATCTTTATCAACCTCAACAGACTAAGATCTTCGCCAAAATGTGTTATATCCGATGTTACTTGGGATGCTTGGATAATGAAGAATAAAAACCCCAGAACTGTATGCTTACCAGGCGCCGACTATGAGCAGTAGATATCCTCAGTAACATCCTCTTTGAGATGATTCACGAAATATTGAATCTGGTTCAGAAGATTGCCTCTTGTCCCCAAGTCTGACATTTTTTAACTAAGACGCTTGTATGAGATGCATTTAAAGGCCTAAGCACATTCAGAGCAAACGATTTTAATATACTTGTCTTCATTCACATCATATGACCGACGTTAAAGTGGTGCAAAGACGTCCGTACGGCAGGATTCCCTTTCGCTTGCCGGAGACGATAAACAGTGGTTTGGCTGATTTCTCAGCTATTCGATATAGAAGATCAAGTGGTATCTAATCAAACAAATGCCACCTTCTCTAAATTTTCCAAATCAAGCTGTGTCGTAAATAATAATTTGCTCGAATTCTAGAAGGGTGTCATTCAAAACTGGCATGTTGGGTTTTATGTCCTTAACTTGGGGAACGTTATGTTATTGCTGACTTACCCGGGTTCATTTATGAGCATTTATTTGCTTTGTATGGCTTAAATCTATCAACGGGCCTTTAGTTATCTGTTCTCCACTATGCGAATATTATTTCTAAATTACAGCGAACTACGTCCATGCATTAAACGATGAGCTCGTGCTCGAAAATTATCATCACATCGTCCGTCTCACGGTTCTGGTGTTAGGCCACGTACTATCGTGTATCGTCTCACACCCACAGATATTTCATACATCGACATGCGTTCCACTGTTGAAATGAGATTGTCGGCAACTTAAATAATATCAAATCGTTAGTTAATAATTGCAGTTACTTACACAAACTTTATGGACAACCGAAGGCTAAATTCAACTGAACAGGCACTTCCAGAAGGTGTTCACTTCAGCTAAAATACAGATTTTGGGATCCCCTGACACTTTCTCGACATGCAAGCCTGCTCCTGGGATCACGCAGTTTCGATTGGTTCTGGTCTCGATTGACAACGTGCTGATGTCAATTCTTGCGTGCG